ACTGTGTTACATCTTCGATCGACCACACAAACGACATCAATGTGATACCCAAGCACATATATGATGCATTATGATACCATTGTAGTATCACCGGAGGACGGTGGCCGGAGGATGGTGGCCTGAGGACGGTGGCYTGAGGACGGTGGCCGGAGAGAGAAGAGAGGAGGGAGGAAAGTTTTAAAATACCAAAAATATCCTTGCATTAATATTTTAATTCAAAATTGCCAAAATTATAAATTTTTTAATTTATCTATTAATTTGTGGTTAATATTGGTTCTCACAGTTACAACAAACTAATTAGTTCTCATTTGAGAAGTATAGTTAATATTAATTTATCTATTAATTTGTGGTTAATATATATATATATATATATATATATATATATATATATATATAAAAGGTTGGGTTTTCTAGTGAGAAGTATAGTTAAGATGGGAAGTGTGAGAATGAATCTCCACCCTCGGATGCACATTAAGATGAGATACACTGAAATGAGATGCAACAAATTAATTCTGCAAATTATAGAGGGTTTGAGATTAAAGGTGATCAAACGTTTTATCAACTCCTATCACCTTCAAACCATTTAGAAATTAGGAAGTAGATAATGGGAGGTTTAGATGTCGGTGCATGAGTTACCGGATCCCCCATTACTGTAACTTCTTAGAAACCCAAAAAACAAACAAGTTTCTAGTTAAAAAAACCCTCTAATCACGAGTACAAGGCTTTTAATCAGAACTAGAGTTGTGGCGGGCGTCCTTTAGCAGATGCGACCATCAAACAAAGTTCACCACTGTATTAAACGATTCATAACTAATATGCATATATTTAAGAATAGAATTTAGAATTTAGAATTTCAAATGAACTTGTTAAGGAAGTGCCATACAAGGAAAACTTTTAGGTACAATTTGAAACATTTTACCTTCAGTCCTTAAGTCTGTGCCGTCGGAAATGCTGGACGATAAAATTGTCGGCGTATAAAGGATACTTTTTCCTGATAAATCCCTTGATGCATTTCCAATACGAAAAGTCGACCATATCTCCATTCGTACGGACAACGAATAGACATCTTGAGCTTTCAAAATCTGGATGGTGCCCAACCTAACGAAAACAACAAACATCAAGCATTGTGCAAACCCATTCTGGTTCATGATGGCAGTGTATCTGATGCAAGCGTATGATGACCGAATCAAAGATTAATCTTGATGATTTTGTGTACACACAGAAATAACTACTTTTAAAGCTTCTTGATTCAACAAATGACAAGTTCTAGGCTCAAACTCGAATTCAAGGACAACTAAGAATTTGGATGGAAAATGAACTTTCTGTTATTGATCAAGTGACCATCCACTCTACACATCCAGTATATATATATATATATATATGTTTCAATCAAGACCAAAAAGAAAAATGGCTAAAATCATGGAACATGAATCTTTTTGTAACTGTCAATTAAATATGTTTCAATCAAGGTAAAAAGGGAAAAAAAACTAACATACCCTCAACATTAACCGCATAGAGAGATAGATATGAACATTAAGTATAAAGGCCTTTTGATTGGTCTATAAACACCTATGAACACCATATGGTTAACAAAAGATCTTGAACACCTATGAACACAATATTATGAACGCCTTATCGTTATGAACACACTTTTATAAACACATTTTTATAAACACATTCTTATGAATACCTGATATGGAATTGGAATTATCTAAAGATGAAGTTAACAAACCTAGGATATTACACGTATATTCTAGAAGGGGCAAAAGRGTAAATGACAAAAGTGGCTGAAGGTTGTTAGAAGAAAGAGAATAAAAGAGGAAGGAGGTTTTCCTTTTCACGTATTTTGTTATTTTTTGCTTTCCATTGTCTTGGGCTCCAATCTTGTAGATTGTGAGAGAGGGATTACCCCAGGAGTTATGACTGTAATTTTTTATTTCTGATTTCAATCAAATCATTCCCTTCCTCTCGATGTGTTCTTACTTCATTCCATAGCTACTTTAACGAATTCGAGTATTCATCTGCCTTTGACCTGCCGTTTCCTTTGATTCTTTGTTCATGGAAACTCGTTCTATACAATCCCGATTGGAGCAACATGATGAGCAGCTCCAGCGACTTCAGACCGAGGTTACTGAGATTAAACTGGCTCTGCAATCACCGGAGGTGGATAGGGTGGAGTCTGCCGATTTCCGTCAAGTGATGCTGGGGTGGATGAAACAACAGAGCAACCAACACGATTCTAGTGGGGGCATGGGTTCAAGCAATCCTCACTCCGGTATTTTCTTCGAGTCCGGCGGCAGCGGTAACGGAGCTGGTAGGGGCGTTGTTCCTCCTCTCAATGACTCCGGTGGGGTACCTTGGGCCTTGAAGAAGTTTAAGTTACCAGAATTCTATGGGTTTGATCCTCAGGGGTGGATTCAAAAGGCTAATTTGTTTTTGGACATCAATGCTACTCCTGTCCATCTTCGTCTCCGACTGGCTCAACTAAGTATGACAGGAGTCGCACAACACTGGTTTACCATCGTTAAGCAAGTTCACGAGGGTATCACTTGGGATCAGTTTCAAGTAGAATTACTTCAACGATTCAGTGGATTAGAAATCCAAAATCCCTATGAACAACTCGCCACCATCAAACAATTTGATTCCATTCATGATTATATTGATGATTTCGAATACTTACTGAGATGAGGTCAAACGGTGGGTTCGATTGCACCGTCCCCAATCGCGCCTGGATGCTATGTACTTGGCGAAGGATGTGGAAGAGATGTTGCATCCGTCATCTGGTACTTTATCTCAATCTCGTTTTCAGTACATTTGGGCTCCGGTTTCAGCCCAAGTGAGCCACGACCCTTGCCTATGGGCTGTACGGAGGCTAAAAGCCCATTACCGAAGAGTATGGATCGTTTCCAGTCATCTAAATTTTACCCAGGTCCTCGTTCTTCAGCTTCTCCGACTTCCCAAGGCTCACACGATACTCAGAGGGATCGAGGATTTCGTTCCCTTACGCGAACAAAATGGGAGGAGCGACGCAAGAAAGGATTATGTTTCCGTTGTGGACAACAATATGGCCCGACTCACAAATGTCCAGAAGGGAAACTCCGAGTGTTACTGTTGGGAGAAGACGAGGATGGATTAGACGCGGGTGATGTTTGTTATATGGAGTCTCAAAGTGAACAAGGTCTTTCAAATGAGGAGCAAGTTCCCACAGGCATGTGTGCGGCTTTGGAGTTTTTCGGTGTTTCCGCAGAGACTACACCAGGCAGCAAGATGATGAAATTAGATGGGACGATTAGGGACATTCCCGTCTCCATCCTAGTAGATAGTGTAGCGACTCATAACTTCATCTCTTGTCAACTGGTAACATCCTTAGCTTTACCGTTTAATAACTGTTCGGGAATTAATATTCATTTGGGTGATGGTTATACTATTGTTGTTGATCAACAATGTCTTAACCTACAATTAATGGTGGGACAAATATGAGTTTATGGTGAATGCTTTAGTTTTTGATGTTGGGAAATTGGATGTGGTGTTGGGGATGGCTTGGCTTCAAACATTGGGAGAAGTAATTCATAATTGGGAAAAATCTTGGATGAAATTTAATTTTCATAGGGTTTCAGTTTCGTTGCAAGGAAAGAGAGCCTCTCAAGGTTCCCTTGATTCCTTACAACAGTGGTTGTTTATCTCGGAGGGCTTGGATACTACCATCCCTTCGTTGCCCTCGGTTGATACTAGGTTTGGAGATAGTTTAACCACTACTCAAGGGCAGGCTTTACAATTGTTGTTCAATCAATTTGTTGCTGTTTTCCAGGCCCTTCAGGTCTTCCTCCAACAAGGGTTCATGATCACGTTATTACCCTCAACAATTCCCATGACCATGTTTGTGTTCGACCATATCGATACCCACATGTACAGAAAACGGAGATTGAAAAACAGATGCAAGAACTACTTTCTTTGGGAATGATTCATCCAAGTAAGAGCGCGTTCTCAAGTCCGGTGATATTGGTTAAAAAAAAAGATCAAACGTGGCGAATGTGTGTTGATTATAGAGCCCTTAATAAGGCTACTGTGGCAGATAAGTTTCCAATCCCCATGGTGGAAGAGCTCGTTGATGAATTGCATGGAGCTTAATTTTTTTCCAAACTCGATTTGAAATCCGGTTACAATCAGATACGTATGCATCCAAACAGCATTGAAATGACGACGTTTCGCACTCACGACGGACATGCCTTTTGGCCTCACGAATGCCCCCGCTACTTTGCAAGCCGTTATGAACGACATTTTTCGTCCTTGGTTAAGAAAAATGGTGGTGGTCTTTTTCGATGACATTCTAATTTATATTTCTACTTGGGAAAAACATTTAGATGATTTGAAAGTGGCCTTGCGAGTTTTGGAACAAAATCAGTTTGTGGTTAATAGAAAGAAATGTTTTTTTGGTCAACAATCGGTAGAATATATGGGGCATATTATCAATGGTGTGGGGGTTGCCATGGATCCTAAGAAAATTGAGGCGGTCTTAGCTTGGCCAGTTCCTAAACAAATTAAAGGTTTGCGTGGATTTTTGGATCTAACGGGTTATTACCGGAAGTTCATTCGACATTATGGAAGTATTGCAAAGCCACTCACTGATTTGACAAAAAAAGATGCTTTCACATGGCATGAGGGAGCACAAGAAGCTTTTGATAGGTTAAAAAAAGGCTATGGTCACTGCCCTTTTATTGGCTCTTCCAGATTTTACTCTTCCTTTTTTGGTAGAATGTGATGCATCAGGTAGGGATATTGGAGCAGTATTAATGCAACAACAAAAACCAATTGCATATTTCAGCAAGGCATTAAGTGATCAGAACTTGGCCAAATCAGCATATGAAAGATTATGGCACTGGTTTTAGCAGTCCAACACTGGCGTTCCTATTTATTGGGAACCACATTTGTGGTTTATACTGATAAAAAAAGTTTGAAGTTTTTACTACAACAACGGATTACTAGCCCTAATCAGCAGAATTGGGTGGCAAAACTATTGGGATACAACTTCGAAATTTGTTATAAACCGGGGAGAGAAAACCAGGCAGCAAACGCTCTGTCTCATAGGGCTGAAGATGGTGATTTACGGATGATTCTTTCGTCACCTTTGTGGTTACAAGGAGTTGCCTTACTTGAAGAGCATAAGGCCGATTTGGAGATACAAAATATGATGCGAAAATGTTCATCTCAGTCGGATGCTCAACCGGGGTATTCTGTTCGTAATGGAATTCTCTATTATAAGGATCGATTAGTTATTCCAAGAAATTCTAAATTCATTCCTTCTTTACTAAAAGAATTCATCAATCTGCATCTGGTGGTCACTCCGGGTATTATCGCACTTACAGGCGTCTAGCAGGTAATTTATATTGGCCTGGGATGATTGATCACGTTAAGTAATTTGTGCGTGCCTGTGATGTTTGTCAACAATGTAAGGCTAGCTCGGTTGCTCCCGGAGGACTGTTACATCCCCTGGAAATACCAGACGCTATTTGGGAACATGTGTCGATGGATTTTATCCTCGGGTTGCCCAAGTCGAGGGGGTTTGATGCCATTGTCGTGGTGGTCGATAGGCTGTCCAACTACAGCCATTTTATTCTACTTAAACATCCCTATACCGCCAAATCAGTAGCAGATATCTTCGTAAAGGAAGTGGTTCGTCATCATGGAATTCCCAAATCTATCGTTAGCGATCGCGATCCTTTGTTTTTGAGTCGATTTTGGCAGGAGATATTTCGATCGCAGGGTACTGAACTACATATGAGTTCAGCATATCACCCTGAATCTGATGGCCAGACGGAAGTGATAAACCGTTGTTTGGAAACATATCTTCGATGTTTCGCTGTTGATCAACCTCGTACCTGGTCATTGTGGATTCCCTGGGTTGAATTTTGGTACAATCCCACCTTCCATGCATCGACTGGTAAGTCTCCCTTCGAGGTGGTTTATGGTCGAAAACCACCAACAGTTACGCAGTACATACCGGGCGAAGTACGAGTTCAACAGGTGCTAGTCGAATTACAAGACAGAGATGAAGCCTTAAAACAACTTCGTGTTCATCTATTACATGCTCAAGATGTCATAAAAAGGAACGCATATAAGAAAAGAAGGGAGGTTCATTTTTCTATTGGGGAATGGGTTTATGTGAAACTGAAATTGGCAGCTCGTTTCTTTGGGCCATTCCAGATCACAGTGAAGATAGGACCAGTGGCATATAAACTCAATCTGCCTGCCACTTCCAAGATACACCCGGTTTTCCATGTGTCTTTGTTAAAGAAAGTTGTTCAGGGAATTGTGGACACAGTTTTACCTCCAGAATTGGATTTAAACGCTACTGAGTTGATTACTCCAGTGGTTGTCTTAGCTACTTGCACAATCAGGGAACACAATGTTGACAATGAGCAATGGCTGGTTCAATGGAAGGGGAGTTCATAGGAAGAGGCAACATGGGAAGATGCGTTAACCATCAAGAGTCAATTTCCTGATGTAAGTCTTGAGGACAAGACTTTGTTGGAAGGGGGGAGTAATAATACGGAATTGGAATTATCTAAAGATGAAGTTAACAAACCTAGGATATTACACGTACATTCATATTAGAAGAAAAATCATATATATATATATATATATATTAATTAGTATTACATAAAGAGCCTATGATCAAATATTAAAAATAGAACTTGGAAGGGTTTTACAACTTCGTTTTTCAACATGTCATTTTAGGTCATTTTACATTATCAGATAGCTTACCAATAATTTTTACCAAACATGACTAGTTTATAAGCTAGCTTATTAGTTTTTAGCTAACAACTAGCTTATCAGCCCACAACTACTTTTTCAGCTAACAGCTAGTTTGCCAAACATATCCATATACAATCTTGATAAAAAAGCAGAAAGAACAGGTAAATATGAAATTAATTGAGAGAAAAAAGAAATCAGTACAAGTAGATTAATAAATGTTTGTGTTTTGTGAGAGAGGAAGGCAACATTACCATGATGTAATTAATTCCACATCCAATTTTCTTCTCAATCTCTGGATGATGTGCCAACAGCCTCGGTATAATAATGTTCTCATGCTCGGAACTTAATCTCTCGCCATTTTCATATCTGCAAGAGAAAATTCAATGTGTATAACCTGAGATGTAAATTAACCACAATAATATTGAATCATCAGTGACCATGTGATTATGTTGAAATGTGCAAATAAAATGTATATAGATGTTGGTTGGCTACTGAATCTTTTAGCGAGTCTTATAGAAGGAAAACTTTCTAGTATTTGGATAACTCTACGGACCCACTATGATGCAAACAGTGCTTTGTTCCTCCATTTCTACACAAGTTTCTCTTCATAGAGTTGGTTTGCAGTCTTTTCTCCCGTTACAGGCACGGGTTCGAATCCCATTTGTATCACTTTCTTAATTTTTAGCTTTTAATTTCAGGTTTGTTATGTTTTTTGGAAAATTTGGGATAAAATACTCAATCACAGGGCTTAACACATAAAAAAACAAGGAACTAATCAACAAACTGATGATGATTTTGTAAAAAATATTCATAGCTTCATTTTTTATAGTTAAATGGTGTCACTGCTTGAAAAAATTTATTCACAAGACGGAGGTCATGTTCTATGCATACCTTCTTCACCAGGCTGTTTTTTCTCTGCTTTCTTGTCATGGAAGCGAGTTCTATAACCACAATTGCAATGCAAAGCGTTCTCTCACTCCGTCTTTCGCGAACTTTTTTAGTGTAAGTACTGATTTATTCCTTAACAGCAAAAGCAAGCTTTATTTCTTAAGACCAATACAAATCTTAAGAGATTTGAACATGTTAAAATGATTATTCTTCCAAACAAATTAGAACCAAGAGGCTCTTTTAGAGTGAGGGAAGGCAAAAAAAAGTACTCGAATACAAAATGAAAAGATAAGATAAAAGGGCCCAAAAGACTCGATCCAAGAAAAGATAAAAGAAAAAGAAAAAGGGCAAACAAGTGACTATAATTCATACAAACTCAGCAGGGTGTGCAGGAATAGGATATGGGCTGTCCCAAGGGAGGAGAGATCGGTTCCGTGAAGACCCCCGACTTGTGAAACAAAAATTAAAAGGAAATGGGTGAGAAAAGTAAGTAACAGGCGAGAAAACCCTTGTAGAAAGCAAAAAAGAAATTGGTCAGGAATCGATGCATCGGGCTTCTGTGCTTAGATGATTGACAAGAGATGCACAACTATCTGTATCACTTTTATCCTATTAGAGCTTCCAAAGTTTGGTAATAAGCTTCCATTCAATAAGCAAAAAGACTCTGTAATCATAAGAATTGAATTATTCCCCAAAAAATCATCATATTATGAACTGTAACATTCCATTAGACTTCATATATACATTCAATTATTCAAGAAAATCAATGTATCATACTCAATTAGAAAAAAAAAATCTCTTCAAGGGTGTAAGTAAACATAACCAGATAACATTGCTCTTATTCTACCCTAAGGGGCTGTTTGGTTGGTTTTCCATTAAGTCCTATATGGATAAAGCTGACTGTGTGATTAATCTGTCTGTATGGATGGATTGGGAGGGTTTTTGTTTAAGAGGTTTTTTCCTCGATGGAATTGGAAGGGTAGGTTTCGAAAAAACTTGGCTTTCTATATAAAGCTCAGCATTAGAAACTTACGGAATAAGCCAATTTCTATATTATTAAACCAAAGAATCAGCTGACCGAATAAGCTTTGAATCCCATCAAAACTCATTAATCTGTTAACAAACATACCCTATCTAGCTCAACAAGAGACGGGCTTCAGTATCTAGAATCAGACAACTTTGCTTCTATTCCACCCTAACTCCTCAAGCTCAACAAGAAATGTGCCATAGATTTATAGGAGTTAACTGAAGTTCGATATGAAGCAGGAATTAATAAAGAGAAAGTGAAAACCTACTTGCCCGAATGAAGAATCATCCTAACAAAGCCAACCAAGGGTAGAGTGTCCTCCAGAATCTGTTCCTCCCAATCCACCCAGTTTTTTTCCCCTCTTGTCTTGCCCTCTTTATCTTCAAAAACCCCAACATGGTCCTTCACCTCCACCGTCGGCTTCTTCAATAAATCAGCCGCAGAGTAACCAGAAGTAGTAGTTTTCAAGGCAGAAGATCGTTGTTGACGAGACGTTGTATAACAATGAGGAAAAGAAAGGATTGAAGGGCTTAACTGAAACCGAAGAGAGATGGGGTTAAAATAAATGTGAGAAGATGACCATGAAACTGATTCCATTATAAGAAATCAATCTTTGTGAGTTCAATTTTGTAACCGTATAAACCCTAAACTTGTTCCAAGTTCCACTATTTTAGTTGGACACAGGGCATGCTTTGCTAATGCTAGAGTAGTAAAAGAGAGCGAGTGGCAAGAACATAACCCGCCTGTTCGAGTAATTTACCAACTTCTCTACTTCTATCCGATATGGGATTGGGCCCTTGGTCTATTGACTATTACCATAACCATGTGGGTTCGTTGACTTCGTTCATCATTTATATCGGTTCAAACAAAAAAATTCAATATATATATTTGATTATCTATACTTTATTATAAAATATTTGACAAAAAAATTTTAGAAATCATTTTTTTATACATGAAGTAGTATATATATTAATGCATATTACTTCAAATTCAAGATTACAAGTAAATTGTACATAATTACAACTTATTAAAGTTTCATGTAACTAACTGCAGATAAACATAATCAAATAAAGAATAAAGATCTCGTTTTAAAATATATAAAAATCCAATATATAATTAGAATTATCATCGAGTTTTAACAAAATAATTAATTATTATATTTATAAAAAAGTTATATTATTAAATCAAATATAAATTACTTCGTTATTGATCCTAAATTAAATTATAATAAAAAAAATTGAATTAAAAATTACACAAAAAATGAAAAATTTTAAATAGTTAATTTGATAGTAATATCGATATATTTTTGTCAAATTTTTATGATATCTTCAAATTTATATTTTATTGAAAAATAAAAACATCATCGTTTTTTCAAAATCACATAAGACCATAATATTATAACATCGATTGAGATAACTAATAAAATAAAATATTATAATCAAGATGTATCTCACTGCATTGTACGAGTATCCTTTTATATATAATTAAACACGTATTGCATTGTTAATATATAGAAGTTTAATATTAAACACACTCAAAAAAATATTATCACATATAATACTGAAACTATCTCGTATTATCTTTCCTCTCTTTATGTATATATACATATTCTTTTGTTAACCAATGAATTGGTGTTAACTTTACAAGCTCATATGAGTCATTTATTAACGTTTATGATTAAATGAAAGATTATAAACTAAATAAAAAGAAAACATATTAAATGGAATTAAGTCAAGTGTAATTTTGAAACAAATTATATCATATTTTTGAAAGATAATTATAACTCCATTTTTCCCTAAAATAAGTGGGTTTCATTTGTGTTTCATATTTGGAAATTGTTTTGATGCATTTATGGTTTTAATTTAGGTTTCATCTATGAACTTTGATTGTTTCGTTTCTTTTACCAAAGTTCATAGATGAAACAATAGTTTTTATTTAAAGTTTATAAGTGAAACAATAATTTTGATTTAAAGTTCATAATTTTTTTCGTTTATGAACTTTGATTATTCCAAAAATTTTACTAAGGTTCATAAGTGAAACTAGAAATGAGTGGGATAATTAAGGATGTTTAATAGAGTTCGTATGTGAAACCACAAGGTTCATTAGTGAAACAATGATTTTTGTTCGACGTTCATAGGTGAAAAAATAATATTTTTTTTATAAGTGAAACAATGATTTTTGTTTCGTATAGTTATTCCAAAAAAAATTACCAAAATTCATAGGTGAAACTAGAGATGGCCAAAAACCGGTCCCGGGCCGGGCCTTAACCAGTCCCTCCCGGTCAAGACAAAAACCGTCGGCAACCGGTCCTATCATAACCGGTCCCGGTCGCGATCGTGGTTCCATCAAAATACCTCATAACCGGTCAAGCTTACCGGTAACCGGTTAAGCCGTTCGGTCCCGGTTCCAGTCCCATAACCGGTTACGGCTGGTCTCTTGCAAAAAAATATTTTTTTTCAAATTTTTGGTAATTAATAAATTTTTAAATGTTATTAATATCTTTGAAATATGTTATTTTTAATATATTTTATTATAAATATGTTTAAAAATACGTTTTGTTATATATATACGTTTAATTTTATAAATACGTTTTGTTATATACATTTATATAAATGTTTTATTATAAATACGTTTAAGAATACACTTTAAAAATACGGGTCACTCAAATACACTTTAAAAATACGTTTTATTATGATTAAAGTAACATTGTTTTACAAAGCTCAAACTATAAAATTATTTGAAAATACATTTATTTATCAATCTTCATCGGTATCCCATGTCGGATTGACTTGAAGAGTTCCGGTCTCTTGAATTCTTCTAATAGCCTCTTGGTCTTCAAGGTCATCAATGTCGAGTTCCTCATCATGGTCATATTGGGAGTAAGTGCTCTCAGTATCGGTACTTGGTGGCGTGCTTAGTCCCATGGAGATTTCATTTTCTTCAAGATTTTCTTCCACCGTTTCAATCTCCGTCTCTAACGACGTCGTGTGTTGAATCCTATCAACGCTATCCAAATAATCCTTCAAGCAAATGCAACACTCCACGGACTCCGGTCTTAGTCTTGTCCGACGTATCGAAATGATCCTGCCACTAAGAGAAAAAACAGACTCCGAAGTTATGGTACTAGCTTGGATTGTTAGTACATCACGTGTGATGCACGCCAAAATCGGGAATTGAGGTTGTTTTTGTTTCCAAAAATCTAATAAATCAATTTTTTCAAAATCTTCAACATCATTTGCGGGACATGCGGCCATAAAGTTAGTATGCACATACATATTTAGTTCACCCAAATCGTTATCATATCGACTTTTTTTACTTTATTCATTTAAAACCTCGTTCATTAAATTAGTCATCAACTCTTTACGACTTTGTCGATGACCACTAGAAGAATAACTAGAACCCGCAAAACCACATGAGGAAGGTACTTGTGGTTGGTTTCCTCCTCCGTAAAAATGTTTTTAATGATCAAATAAATCTTGAAAATTGCGATTAAGTAACGTTTTTGTTCCATTAAAAAAGAATTGAAAATTGCGATTAAGTAACGTTTTTGTTCCATTAAAAAAGAATTATCCGTAGCGGTATCCAAACCAAAAGTCACACATATTTGTGTAATTAAAACTTCAACACCAACAATATTTAAATACGGGTTTAAAGCCGCAGCACAAAGAAAAGCAAATGGGATACCCATAAAATATTTTAACAATTTTTTTTCATGCAAGACATCAATCTTACCTAATCGTGATGGTTTTCGTATTGGGCCAGTCCTATAACCGGTTACATAACCGGTCCCGGTCTTAACCGGTCTCGGTCCTAGAAAACGTTAAAATCGTTAAATGGTTCATAACTAGCGGTCCACAATTAGGGCTGTAAACGAACCGAACGAACACGAACGAAGGCTTGTTCATGTTCGTTCGTTTAACTTAACCGAACAAACGAACGAACACGAACGGTAAACGAACGAAAATATTTGTGTTCGTGTTCGTTCGTTTAGAAATCAGGTGTGTTCGTGTTCGTTTATGTTCGTTCGTTAACATGCTAAACGAACGTAAACGAACGAACATAAACGAACGGGTTAAACGAACATAAACGAACGGGTTAAACGAACATAAATAAATATTATTTGAATTCAAAGTAAATAAA